GCTTGACTTCAATTCCAGTGATCTTCTACTACCCACTCTCAGTTGAACACCACTGGTACAGCCCTGCTCCTGACTAAAGGTAAAGGGTACTTTCTCCTAAAGGGATAGGGATATAATTTCTCCTAAAGAGATAGAATATAATTCCAGAATTATATTTACTATGATTGGCAGCAACTCTGTGAATGTGCTCACATTATTCATGCACATCTCTTTGGTTCCCCTCGCAGTTCAGTAGCTATAAGCATTTCAGAAAATTTCAAAAAATGTATTTTTTCATCTGAACTAGCATTGAAACCCTTGCACCGGCCTTCCCTTCTTCACATTAAAACATATGAGAAGGGATCCCAGTTTGCTTCCCAGGTAGTCTCCTACATTCAGACATAACAAAGTCAGAGAATATTTCCTTTTATGTCTTGGGACACTGGTACTGATTGAACTTGCTAAGAATCATACAAGGAGGAGGCTACCTGGGGCTATTTCCTTCCTGAGTTTATGTCCTGTCTATTTCTCTTAGGCTAAGAGTCTGCCTGGGAAAGACTGTGTCAAAGTCTATGCTTAAAATGCCCCTAGCATACTGTTGGCACTTAAATGTAATTATTCAAAATGGAATCATTTAATTAGATAGGAAGAGAAATAGCAAGCCTTGAGACAATAATAAAGAATAAAGCAAATATGCTGACCAACTGAAGCAAAGCAACAGATACATACCGACGCACACTCGCAAAATAGTTACATTTCAGCTTTTCAATTCAAGGTGCACATAACGGGATATACATATGGTTATATGCCTTGCTTTTGCTGGGTTCATAGAAAACAGAGATCACGACTGATATCCATAACTTCCTAGAGGGATAAGAATTACCTGTCTCATGCCTCATATGACTTGGGAAAGCCGGGGGAGGAGGAAAGTGGTGGAAGGCAATGGAAGCAGGGAGCGATGGAGACTCCACAGGCCATAGATGCTTGAACAGGGAATTAGGGATGAGTCATGTATCCAACTAGATGGGACAGGTTACTTTACACCAGCAAAATCTACTTCGTGGGAGACCAGGACAATGTGAAGTCATTTACTCCCTGTCCTTTAGAAGCATGATATTATGGGTACCAAGCATGGAAACATTTCAGGGTACTCTAATAGAGTCAAATACACCCTGGAAACTCACCCTCATTGCACCCTCTTCTTTTGGGCTATGAAAAGGCCAACACCTCAGGGTGCACTTTAGATAATGAGAAAGTCCAATCTTATCTTCCTCTGGCTAAATTCCAGAGCCCGCTAATGAAAGCTAGTTCTTAACTTATCTTTTGCCTTCCCACTTCCAGCCCCCAACCACTGAGGTACAAAGACTTAAATTTTTTTGTTGTTCACAAAACACAACAGAACACTATCATGTTATGAAGGCTTGCACAAGGTACCGTGGTAGATGCCTAAGGGAATAGACTTCATACTCAGGTGCCAGATATTCCAATAAAAGTTCTCCTTAAATAAATTCACATCTCAACAAGTAAAAAATGTCTTAGGTCAGACACTGCCAGCATCTCTTACAAAACTACTTAAGTTTTATCATGAAGTTTGCTTACTGATTGTAAACGGCTGGACAAATTAATATTTTTTAAACTGGTTTTTAGAAAAACTTATTCATTTAAACACCACCCCACAAAAAGCAACTAACTGAAAACTTTGAGACAGAAGCTGCCAGCTTTGAAGTCCTCTCCAAGGCTTCCTTGCCTGCTCAGTGTCCTTGGGCTTGACTTGAGGAGATGGAAAGAATAGAAAAGATTGCTCAAAAAGGGTCTCTTTGGCATTGTGTCGTCTCTCAACTCTCCGCTGCCTAGACTTTCTATTTTCTAGACTGGAGGCTCACAGACAGAAATGATTTAGCATTGAAGTTTCTTCTCCATCGTGGACTAACTGCTGGGGGTTCAACAGAGTCACCACGGCCTGCCTTACAGCTACAGAAGATAAATTCCGGCTGTCCAATTCTTGAACTATTCTCTCCACACTCCAGACTATTTTATAAGAATGGTGCCGTCATCAGTGGTCAATAGGTTTTAATGAGTGCCTACTATATGCAAAGATTAGAATTAAGTATTTGGTCTGAAGTCACTGCAGTATTGGGAAGCAGAATGGCATTGAATTCAAGTGAGGAAGGCTGGGTAACTTGTTAGCCCTGGACCTTGGGACAAATTGCTTAACCTCAGTTTTCTAATCAGGAAAATGTGAATAAACAACAGAATGTGCCTTCGAGGGTTTTTAGAAGGACTGAATGAAAAGGACACAGCATAACAAGTAGTAAACCCTCAGTTCATATTAGTTGTTGCTATTACTATCTTAAATTATTTTCATCATTTTGACATGACAGTGAAAGAACACAAGGTTTTCTAAGTGGACTCCTAAGGGAGCTGGGGAGGGGAAGAGGGTGAATGGGAATCTGCTTATTTGTTGGAATTTTCTCTTCCTCCAAAGCAGTCACGTTTAATTGGCATACATTGGTAGCATTAATTTTCTCCTTTGAGAGTACCTGTGTAACACTTCCCTCAAACAAGAGCTAAATTGCTGCTCAAGCCTCAAAACGGCACCTGCTTTCACTCCAGCAGGAATGATGTTTTTATATTACAAAGCTGAGGTCAATAAGCAGAAAACACAAGTGCTGTTCTATATTACCTCTCTGAGTAATGGATAATAAAAAAAATGGAGTGAAAATAGAAGAGAAACCTAAGGAAACACTTTCCAAGTTTCCAATATTAAGAAACACACTTACCAGATAGGCTTTTGGGGCAATTTCTATTTTCACATCTTTGCACATATTCACAAGATTTTTGACTGCTCAACTTCCACCCCCTTTCCCAACCCTATAGACCTAGGCTGAGCACTGGTACGGCTACAGCGATTCTCTGCACCTGCGGATCCTTTCATCTCGGGACTCAGAGCACTCAAGTTAACATAACCATACAACTTAAAAGAAATAGGAAATCAAAGTTTTTTAAAAAGACAAAAATTGAATCATGTTTGGACCTGGCAACAACTGTGAAACTTCCCACTTTCAGAAATTCCTTTTTGATTCATTCAAGGCAACAGCTAGAATGCTTCCAAGATCAGAAGGCTTCTCTGATATTGCCCAAGTGGATGCAGGGCAGCAGTGATGTGGGGAGTGTAACTAGATCACTTGCCCCACGCTGCCTATGCTGCCTGTAACTTCTCTGAAAGAGTGAAAATGCTGAATCTAGGAAAGGAACGGAGGAAACATCTCAAAACTGGCTGCCGCGTTCAACTTTCCTGTTACTCACCATCTCGCTCAATTCTGTTACCAACAATCTAATCCAATTCACTTATTGATGGTATAATGAGGACAATGAAATTGCTTTTAAAGAATCAGTAAAAGGGACTGACTTTTTTTATTAAAAGAACGCTGTCAGAAAGTGGATGAACTAAATGATAAAAGGATTTTTCTCCACCAGGTATAGAGAAGTCAAACTCTTTTCTTCTTAAATCTCAGATACTGTGGGATGGCACACCAGTTAATTAACAAACATTTACTGGATACACACCATATACTCTGAAGTACCATGCCAGCAATAAATCATGTTTCTGATCAAGCAATGATAGAGCAGATTCTGCTAAGGAAAACAAGAAAAAGCCCCTGGAAAGTAGTGTTAATGAAATGTCATTGCAGGTTACAAAATTACAAATAGTTGTGTAAATATTTATTTCATCATAAGCAAAATGTTACATTATCAGAGGTCGTAACAAATATTCTCAAAGAGTTCAACTACAAGGCAGTGGATGACGATGTTGGCTGAAGCTGAGGATGTCCAAAAATTGCTTGTTCCCAATCAAGAGGATCAACTGTTTAAGTTAGGCATCTGAATGTAGGTTACGTTTGTAGAGAGATAATTTAATAATATTATTATTTCTCTGAATATTATTTCTCTTAATTTCAGAATGCTCAGGATTTTTCAAACTAAGCCATTTTAACAAATGTTTTAATGTTATATATCGATTACATTCCCTCAAGTTCTAAGTGAACCTATGTTTTCTATGGTATGGTCATATTTTAATCTTTACCACCTCTTTCTTTACCATATGGATTGCTCTTCAATATTCTTGAGTCTACTGAACTCAAGAGAAGTAAAAGTGACCTCTATACAGTTTGTGTCTATAAATTTGTTCAATAACTGAAATATAAATAACTGATTTATCTGAAATGTAGAAGTACTTTGCATGATTCAAAAATTCGTACAATGCTTTACTCAGTCTCACTGATGAAGTTCAAGATTTTAAACTACATGTATGTTAAGGTAAGTTTTCTTATAGTGGTTGAACTACAAATCTGGATCTTTAATGTATAACATATATAACTCAGCTCTGGGTTCTATTTTTAATCATGACCCTGGCTGGGGGTAAGAACCAGACTCTATGAAGTGAGTAGCAATGGCTTACACTGAAGAAATCATAGGAAAAGTGGAATCATAAGAACTACAAGAGTTTTGTCTAGAAATATTTAGAAACAACTGAATGGAACCTCTAAGACTATATTCAATACCAATAGCAAAAAAACCTTCATATACAGAGATTTCACCTACAGATGGTTGAAAAGTGATTTTCTATGATCCCATAATACTTTATATAATTATCTGTAATTAAATTAGCACAAGATAAAAATAATCTACTTAAAATAATATAAAGTATTCAAAACAACTGCTAGGCAAAACAACATTCTTTTTCATAAAAGGAACTGTCATATATAACCAAGTGGCAAAACAGAATGGAGTGAGCTGTGGTTAAATGTAAATCCTATAGCAATGAAGTCATTTGTATTATCCTTACTTCTTTGAATAAATTCAGATGACAGTCCTATTTCATTTCTTCATTCAGTTTGGAGGCCAGATGGCATTAGAATCATTTACTTCACCTTGTTGTGCTTAATTACTACAATCAACACACTATTTTCCAAATTAATCATAACAAAGTAATTTCATTAGTAACACAGCAGGCTGTTGAATTATTAGCATCATAACAGTTTGCAAACAATTAAACTTTATTTGAACCTTAAAAATTTGCAGAGTGGAACATTATTGTAAGATCTAATGGCAATAGAGTACAAATTCAGTACAGAGCAAATAATCAAGCAAAATGCTATGTAAAATATGACTTACAATCACCTTTGAAAAAAATTAGCTCTCTAAATGTTCATAGAAAAACAAATAAAAGCTAAGCAAACATAATGGGAACATAGCAATTAGCATATTTTCTAACAAGCAATGTTGTTTAAATTCACATTAATGATATTATGATGATCTTAGAAAGTGTGTGATATATTGTCAAGGGTGTAAAGAAAACTTTCTCCCTCCTATGATACAAACGATTTCACCAGATGAATATAAAGGAGTCATGAGTTGAAAGTAATGATTGTTTTTCCTGTCATTCCAATTAAAAATTTTTTGTTTCTTTCCTTATCTCCCACCTGTATGCAACTAAAAAGGAACAAAGGGCAGAGGAGCTCTGGACACAAGTTAACACTTTTTTTTCTGTATTGTCACCATTCACAGAGACTGTCTGGCATCAGTTGGCAAAGGACTCCCTCTCCTGGATTAACTGTAAAAGGAAGCAGTAATCTACTAAATACTTTACATTTGGAGTGAGTCCGCGCCTGAGTGGGGGAGGGGTTTCCAAGTGGGTTCCTATGCAATGAAAAGCTGCTGCCATCTACTGGCCCAGGACTAAAATCTTCACTTGGATCAGAAGCACAAAATGTATACCTTACAAGGAAGTCTACATTTACAGTGGAACCCACAATTGCTTTCACTTTTCAATCTCTCAGGTCTTGAAAACAATCCACTACATTCATCCTTGGTTGTCTCACTTTTGCCAAGACGATTTCAATCTATTCCAATGGCTCTATGTCAGAACAAGATTAACAAGTGCACAAATTAATTTCTGAAAGCTTTAACTTGATAATGTCTAATTAATTGATATAAACTAGAATTTACCTACAATCTCCCAAATTAATAGATATATTTTTATATGTGAAATCAGATAATCACATGAAGGCATGAAGGTGATAATCACATGGGTTAGGGAGGGGATAACAGTAAAATATAAACTCTGAAATATTACTTGTAGATAATTTTTATAAATAATAGAGGTTTTTAAATATTATCAACTCATTTGCATGTTTAGAATCTTTATCTTTAAAGCAAAGATCTGAAAAGTTCCATAAAAGTAGTATCTTCTAATCAATGATTCACTATTAGCAGATTATATTTACTCCAAATAATTATCCAATCAGTAGTATATTTTGATATATATACATCACACTGGTACCTTGTAGACATTTAAAATACCTTTGATTTCAACCATACATAAAAAAGTAAAACTATAACTCCACAAACCTTGCTCTGGAGTACAACATACACCTCCTGGGTCAGATTGACACCAACCTTCCACTCACCTGCTGGTACATGTTCCCACCATGATTTCCACACCCTCTTCTCTGAGCCTTCCTTCTCTTCTCATTGCTTGAGAAGTTCAGAGCTGTACTTCTCAAGTCTGTACTAGTAGTTTTGTGGTAGGACTTTAATAGCATAGGAGGGATCAGGCAAGGTAAAAGTACTTGGTTATGCCTTTTGATTTTGAGAATATATTGAGATTCTTTATGCCATTTCATTCGTGGAAGAATGGGGCCTCACATAAATTTTTTGTTTTATTAAATTTAAAGAAAACTACAGTAGAAAATGTTGGCAAGCCCATTATATAACCAGGGTATTTATTACTGGTAAAGGGCTTTGTACAAACCATGATTCTGGTCTACACATGTGTTGCAGAAGGTGATAGCAACTATCATTTGCAATTCTACCATTTTTCTTTCTCATGGCTATATTTAACATAAAGTAAACTTGCCAATCAGTAAAAATTCTTCCATGAAAACATGTTACTACTGTGTGAAAAATAAATACTAAGATGACTCATCTACAAAGTTTTAACAAAGCTACATTCTTTAGATAGCATTTATCAAAAACTTGTGAGATATATTCTATCAAATTTTCTTAAAATTATATTTTATATTCTAAAAACATTAATATCCAGTATTAAGAGAAATTACAACTCATACTAGTAGTAACAATGACTGTGATACATACAAAACAGTGCTGAATTCCTCACGTAAATCAAATGAGTAAATAAAAACTATTGATTTATTTCTTTGCAAAATAGCAACAGGTATAACTTTATTGCTTACTTCTAATTTACATTAATATCCTTCATTTAATTTCACATCAGAGGAATATTACAATGAATGCATAAAACAACAAAGACAAATGATGCTCAACAAAACAAAGAAAGGTTATGAACTGTCATTCATGCTTTTACAGTGATTCTCAATCCAAAAGATTTGCAGACTAGCAGAGGAATCTTCCTTTTTTGCGAGCAGAAAGAGAAAGCTGCATTTTAATTTTTCTCTTCAGACAAAATGTTGATTTTTCCCTGCCTAGAAAAAAATTACATGTTTAGCCAAGGAAAGAAAATGAATGTTTACTCAATATTTTGTCAGTTCAGCTCCTCAGAAAGACCATAAGAGTGGTATTTTACTAAAGAGGAGGAGGTTGTGAAAACAGCTGGTTATTAACAAAGGGACTTTCTCTAAGTAATCTATTTCCAAAGTAAATCTTATGAAGTTATTTTAAAAAAACTAAACCAGATTTTGTAAAACAAGATAATGATTTGGGAGTATAATCTTTGTGTTATCAGAAAACTAGAAAGACTTTTAAAAAGCAAAGACTCATAACGCAGAGACCAAGAGAACATATGAGCTATTACAGAATATTGGATTAAAATGTACTTACCCAGGACTCTCAAATATCATACATCTCCATTATGTAGGCTTTCGGCACCAAGCCAATGGCTCCCTTCATTTCTCCTACCCACCAGCCATATCTATTGTATTCCTAATTGAAAACAATATGCAATATTAACCTTTAGACTGGTGTAAGTACAATGTCCTTTGTATGCAACTTCTTGGAAATGTTATTTCTTTTTATAAAGTTATAAGAGCTTTAGCTGCAAATTGAAACATTTTAATCTTTTTTGTTTCCGGACACTTTAAAAATGCTGTTAGGCAAAGATTTAAATTAACATATAAGACAAAGCCTGTTTATTTCATGGTGTAGAATAGAAACAGTCACTTAGGATAGGAACCTGGTAAATGAAACTACATAAGGAAATCGGCTCTCTGGGCCCCTTTCCCTTCTCTCTCCCCATGTCTGTCTGCCTGCCTGTCTGTCTGTCTGTCTGTCTGTCTGTCTGTCTCTCTCTCTCTCACACACACACACACACAGAGCCTGGGGGACACCTTTTTATATGCAAACCACAGTGTTAGAGGCTCCTAGATCACTGCCAGGATCCTTGGGAAACTATCTTTGCCTTCAAGGAGCTTATCATCTAGCAAGGACAGCCTTTATTTTTTTTCTTTCACAATAAACGACTTAATTCCTAGTTAAACTCATACGACCAAAAATGATTTAGAATGTAGAAGTATGCTCTTTCTCAGGAAACTGTAATACATGAGTGTAGCCATTTTAAACAGATAAATTAGAGAATTAGGAAACACTAATAAGATATCCCCAAACCAGCTTTCCAACAGAATTCACAAAAGGGTTCCTTTTCAGAAGCTTCCTGAAGGTATTTATTGTTCCTCTGATTGATCACAAACTACATTAGGTAAAGGATGAGTAGAAGGGATTTAAAGGTGGCATTAGATTCGCCCTTATGGGGAGGATCAATAGGAAATAAAAGTATCTCAAGTTATAATGGCAAAATATTAATCCAGCTTTAAAACAAAGTGACTGATGAGTCACTTTTGCGTTTATTTTGCTTGTGAGCTGAACCTGGGCCTCCTTTTCTTCGCTTTGCTTCACTGAAGACACACCACTGGCTCCAGGCATCGTGAAAACTGTACCTAACGTTCATTTGTCTGCCAGATTGACTAATGTATTTTTATCTGAAATTTATTTATGTTTAGTGAGATACAAACTAAGTAAAATGAATTACAAGTTTCAAGAATAATATCTTCCAAAAGCAATACTCTGAAAAGGCACCACAGGACCCAAATTTAATTTTTCATAGAAGATAAATTTTTAAAATCAATCCCCAAAGTAATTCAATAGGCTATGATTTCCAACATCTGAGTCATAGATAAATGTGCATATGCATATCAAGTTATATGTGGAGAGGGAATGTTAATACCCAGGACAGACTTAATGTTTGTATTGATGAGTAACTATTATATTGTATTGTATTGATGACTAACTATGCTATTGACCATCAGAAAGGAAAATCATACAATTCTTCCATACAAATGTAGAAATTCCTAGGTGTGTACTGATATGTAGTCTATCAATAAAGAGATTACAGGATTAAAATCTATAAGTACTTTTAAAACAACGGGATGTATCAGAATTAGGTTTTTTTCTGTAACAATAAGATGGAAGGAAAAGGCTGGGGAGAGGAAGGGAAGACCTGATTCTAATGAGGGCACAGTTCTGGTTTATGAAACAGTAGACTCAAGATTTTAAGTTCAAAAGTTTCCTGATAAGTGTGAACTTAGTTGACAAAATTCTCTAAACAATGAAAATAGTTTGAAGCCCAGAACTCAATGATAACGACTATAATCTGTGCAGAATATATTTATCAGAAGAAAATACCAACTTACTGAAAGCTATGATTAGCAACCATTATATCCTAATAGGTACCTAATAAAACTGCCCTTTTCAATTTTTAAGGCAATGAATACAATTAGAGCCTAATCCTTAACAAAACAAATGTATTTCACCTTGCAGAGGCCAAAGGCCCACAGTGTAAGATTTCAGAATGAATACCTAACAGAGTAAGTCTAAGTGTGAAAGCTCTTATCTGATGCCTATCTAAGTTTTTCCCAACTGATTATTTGGAAAGTGTAAAGGAACTAGGCCCCCAAAGGGTAGAAAGAGAAAAAGAATACATTTAGTGAGACGGTATAGTATGACTCAATCCTGCCTTCAGAGAATAGCCTGCAACCTGGATTTCAATGTTTAGATTCAAGTTATAAACCAGAAAATTCATATTACTTTATAATATTCTGCTTTGATATTATAATCTGTACTCTCAATTAAGTACGTATTATTGTTCTCAAAAAGCTCACTCGCATTCAAATTTAAGAAACTGATTTCCAACAAATCACTTCAACAAAGGACTTCACACATGAGAGAATTTTACATGACAGTAACTGAGAAGATTCATTAAATAGAGTATAGTACTAAACATCAGAGGAGTTTATTCAGCTGTAAACACATCCCTTAAAAGTCACATTCTAGGAAAAATATAAGTTTTAGGCTAAAATAATCCTAAACGCTTCACTTAATTAATTTAAAATAATTGAAAAGCCTATGAAATACACACCTTATAGAAGTACTCTAAAATATCACAGGTTTAAATCAGAAAAGAGTAAAAATAAAAAACCAGAATGTTTATTACTCTACATTTGTAAAGAATTCCATATAGCACTCCTGTGTGGAATTAAGAGGTAAGATAAAATATAGTGAGGTAAAAATCTAGTAGGCAAATTTATGGATTTACACCGCAGCCATTAGAGTATGTCAGTGAGACTGCAAACACAGACGCTTTTACTTTTATCATCACTATCCTCTGTATGAGCCTCCTGAGCAACATGAATCCCAATTAAACCATTTGCAGCCTATAAATTGGAATGAAGATGCTTCTTGGAGTATGGTATCCTAAACTTCAGCCTGCAGAATTCAATAGCACACACGATTTTCTTGGGAGGAAGAAAATATGCCTTCCTCTGCCTTCCCTGTTTGCTGCCCCCGAAGAAATGTGATTATGAATGATATATTACTTACAGTGGAAAATAATGCAATCCATACAATGTTGTCTCACTGTCCACATACTAACTGAAGTACTGGTTAAAAAGTCACAGGTGGGTCATGAAAAAAACAACAACAACAACATAAAAAAAAAAAACAGCCCTCAAACCTCATCTTGTTAATAAACAAAAAATAAAGAGACAAAAATCATACCAGGCTGCCATCTAAATCTCTGAAAGGTTAGGGAGCATCATGTCATCTTGATGGCACATGAACGAGATCTCAGGTACAAGAAGGTCTGCCATCTGGTATCCTTCACCCTCTGCGGCTCTTAACATCAACTGAAATGCTAACATAGGCAAGTGACTGTACTTCAGGAGGACTGATAAAATAATGAAGAGTCCTTTAATCTACAGGAAACCATTCTAGTCAATTTATAAGAAATATTGCATCCCTTTGTAGGACGTGTAATTATTTTCTATTAATCATGTGCTATAAAGCTACATTATGCGGTTATTCTGTTATCACTAGAAAGAGGCCTGCAGTCAGCTTCTGACAATGTTAGGTAATTACTAACACAAAGCTTCTTTCTCCTCCCGCGGTAATGCTATCAAGATCCAGAGGTGTAGTGATGCTTAGTATATAAAAATAGTACTCAAAAGAAATTCAATATCTGTAAAATGGATGGCTTCAAGGCAAAAATGTAATGTGGCAGTCACAGAAGCAAAAGCACCAAACTTGCCCAATAATTTGAGAAAATAATGAGAAAGCAACACTGAACAGTTGGGATCTAATACCTCCGTTTTCAGTTTTCACATCATTAAAAGAGTTTTTATTTTGTAGTTAAAATTTTATGCCCCAAATAATCATTTTAAGCAATAAATTAAGGTGATTATGTAAAAAGGTAGGAAAAAAGGACTAGTTTTGATAAAAAACAGAGACTTTATCCAACACAATAGCAAAGGTATGGCTGTGTTTAATTATTAACTAAATCTTCTCTCTCTGCTGGTGTTTTATTTTACACTTAAATAAGAACCCCCCTGCCCCAATAAGACCACAGCATTTCTTTAAATCCTTTTCAGCACCATGATTCTCGTTTCTCAAGCATGCTAATCCACTTTCTACAAACCATATGGTAAAAGAATGCTGCCTTTAACAGAAACTTGGAACATTAATAAGATTTTGTGATGTACCACCCTTTCAGAAAGGAGTTACCAATCTATATGAAAGCAACAGGTGTTAGAAAGGTTAAAAGACTATATTCCTTTCTCCAAACATATATCTGTGCTTAAAAGCATACCAGTCTTGTGCAGAAATAAAGGTAATTTTATTCACAAAATATAAACTACACTGAGTTTCAGAGTGAGTGGACTTTACCATTGTTTTCCAACTATTCACTGTGATACTTTCAATTTTTCAAATTGTTCGTGAACACTGTGGTATCATGAAAACGTAACTATTTAAAATATGAAAATATTTTTTCTTCAAGGCTACCTCTTCAATCTCTTCCTTTTTACTGTTTCCGATTAGAAACTTTATAAGAATCATTTCTTGTACATCCATCATTTCAAAAGTTCTCTTAAAATGCACAACAGGAACTTAAAAACCTCGACATTTTACTCTTATTATCTACACATTAATTGCTTGACTCTTAGTCTCCTAACCTCATTCCTTAAATGAGGAAATGGACACTAACAATCTCTAAGCTCCTCCATTATGTTTGAAAATCACCATTCATGAACCTGCTTTAACACCCTAAGTCTCTTAGCAACTTACGGAAACCAACCTCATTACTTAATAATTTACTACGCAGCTGTGAATCTGAGTTACTCTAATTCAAGGAATTCCTATTTTTTTCTCCAGGCACAGCAAATCCATTTTTAAAGCAAGAGAGATAGAAGACAAGCAAGAAAGGTGATAAGAAGGACTTAGTTCCTGTGATCAATTTTAGTTTATGTTCCAGAGTCAAGACACATTTAATTCAAATTTCTACCCAGTCAACATTTACAATACCATAAAGTAAAAACTGATATGCAGACTGATGGTTTGTAGATACCGTTAGGCAAAGAAAGAGCACATCGCGCTCA